TTCTTAAGTAATGCACATACAGTAGAAGAAGAAAGAAAGGGGAAGCTTTGCTCACCTTGTTGCCGAGCAACATGATGACCACATCCTTCTGGGCATAGTCATGTATCTCAGTCAGCCAAGCCTTTAAAAAGTAGAAAAGAAACAGAAAGAGGAGTGAGTCTAAACACTGGGCAATTTCACTCTTCTTCCATCAATCACAACACACAATCAAGTCATGTTGCTTTGGAACTAGTTTATAGATTTTCAGTGTTCAGATTGAGAAATGGTTGACAAACAACAGAAAAAATGAAGGAGACATCACTGGAGAGCTCATTTGAACCAACAATACTGATGCAAGTTTCAGTGCAACAAAGCGTGTTCATCTAATTCTCTTGATAAATGTTTAGATAGCAGTGGCTATAGAAGGCAGAGGAGCATTTACCCTGATGTTGTCAAATGATGGCTTGTTGGTGATATCATAAAGCAGGAGTAAGGCTGTCAACAAAAGAGCAGAACTATGATTAGTTACGGTTGCATGTGTTGTAGTTTATGTAACCAATACCCACATCCACAATCCAATGTGGGTACTAAACTTCACACAACTCCCTCCCCAAACAGGAAGTGAAGCATAAGAAAAGCTAGGGTTACCTTGGGCATCTCTGTAGTAGGCGTGTGTTACACTGCGGAACCTTTCCTGGCCAGCTGTATCCCAGATCTAAGACAAAATAATTATATGCAATATGTGTTACAAATCCTAGCAGCTAGCATCCAAAAGAAGAGAAACGCCAATATAGATTATACAGTGTGATGCTATTAGGGGATGGCACATAAGCCCGTGTAAAAGAAGCCATGGGTTTACGAGGAACGGCAGTACGGTCTAATTATAGCACCTCCCACTGTGCCGTATGAACAGGTTGTGATGATAGACATGTTTACATTAGGTTAACGTCAAGCTGACACACAGGCCCTTTATAGCCTTCAAAATCCAAAGTAAAACGTTAACTCCAGAATAAATAAAGGAAACAAATACAGTATGTCTCTTTTTGGCCATCTGCTTGTTTCTATGGAGATTTAATTGTTGTTGTTTTTTTCTTAAATATTACATAGTATGGCATTAAACTTATCGCCATGAAGATGAGCAAGTGATACTACTAGGCCAAGTTACAGGTAAGATCTGTGGAGAGGTGACCTATCTGACACTAAGAAAGTATGTTGTTATTTTCCAATTAAACGGAAACTTAATCTATATTAGAATAAATGCTAAAGTATATTATATAATGCCATATTGTGGAACATCAATGCAAAGCAGTTAAATGCACATGCGGAAGAGCGGGCTGTGTACTACACATCATAAAAGTTACAAAGTGCACCTTTAAAAACATCTATGTTATTTCATATAAAATTTGTCCCATTACTATGACAAAGGATTTAGAGTTTTAGAAGCAACGTGTTATCAGCAAGGTGATGTTTTTCTGCTCTTGGCAATTTTTTTAAACCACCAGCGGTGACAGACAATCCGGATCATAACGCCAAAAAAGTTATCTTGGCAAAAACAACACAAATTATTTCTGGCAAAAAACATAACTCCCCTTGATTGGAATCAATATCAAACTTTAAAAAAAAATATAAAAAGGAACAGATTCCCATTGTGTCTCTGAGCGGGTTACACAATCATTTAGCCTTTTTGTTTTGAATCATAATGCTTACAGTGCATTTAAGACCACCGAATGTGCTTATTAGTACAGATTGTAGCCTATTGTAATGCTGAGTAAACTATGTAACTTCTCTGGCTGAAAATTCACCATCTATCTTTCTCCATGGAGAAATTTATTGCTTTGCCTGAATGTTACACAATATGGCATTAAACTTGTCACTCTACATAAAGACAAGCCACCAGGCCAAGTTGAAGAAGGTAAAAGAAAAGCATGTAATGTTTATTGTGTCTATGAAATGAAAAGTGAACTGGGTGTTAGAAAGGCACTGTATCAATCAATCAAACTTTATTTATAGAGCGCTTTTCATACAAAAAAAAATGCAACACAAAGCACTTGTATGCATTGTGTGCATTTGTATTGTATTGTACCATATTGTACTTATTGTACTTATTGTGTTTGTGGCCATACCATCTTGTAAAAGCCTGGTCCTGTCAGATCTCAGAAGCTAAGCAAGGCTGGGCCTGGTTAGTACTTGGATGGGAGACTGCTGGGAAAATCAAGTGTCACAGGGGGGCGCCGATTGCAAAAACTGTCATTGTGTCCTTAGGCAAGGCACTTCACCCACATTGCCTAGTATGAAGGTGGTGGTCGGAGGGGCCGATGGCGCAGATTGGCAGCCTCGCTTCTGGCAGTCTGTCCCAGGGCAGCTGTGGCTATAGTAGTAGTTTACCACCACCGGGTATGGAGTGAATGAATAATGCTCTGTAAAGCATCTTTGAGTGTCCAAAAAAGTGCTATGTAAAACTGATGTATTATTTTTGTATTTTGAATTACTGTATTGTATTATTGTATTGCATGTAGCAAATTAAATTAAAAAGAGGGGAAAAAATGAAAGGCACTTCTAAATGATGCATTTTAAATGCAAGATTGAATCATTTAATGCCATACTACGGGACATACCAGGCAAACCAGGTAATATCTTCATAGAGACAAGTAGGTGGCAGGTCCTCCACCATACAGGTTGCATAGAGCTAGTGTTGACACAGTTCTAACTTTTCAAGCTTAATTTTGATACTAATGAATGAACTCAATACAAAAAACACTCTTTATTTAGACAGTAGAATGTGATTTTCAACATAAATTGTAGTACGTTCTTTTAAACCTTGTGGCTTCACATCTGTATAATTCCTCAGTTCAGGTAAATGGTGGTGTTACGCTAGTTCTGATACAGCTTAAGATCATTCTAAATTTATTCAGGAAAGATTAATTTCTGTCCTGTGAATGTGACTTTTTTCCTTTATTTTAAATTGTTCAAAAGAGTAGTTTCGATGCTAGTACCCACTCATACAGATTTTAAAGTAAACTCCAGTGTATTTCTCTTACCTGCAGTTTGACTTTGAGATTGTCCACATCCACCACTTTATTCTGTGAAAACAAAACAGTAGCACTAAATCATTGACAGTTCCCCATATGCCACAGACAGCGCGCGGATGGGGGGAGTGACGGCAGACTGCAAACGCACATTCACCCAGCATGAAGCACCAGGAAAGCACAAGGAAAACACAAGACGACTGGCTCTGAAAGTGGCTCTGAATGCTGCCAGAGAAAGACCATTTCGCGACACCCACACCACAAACAAGGTCCTGGGATTAGACTTAATTACACAACTGTGAGGATAAGCAGCTAGCACTCCAACAACAGTCTCCCCCTGGTTTGTTTCCTGCAGCCCTGTGGGGGTGCCCTACTGTATCTGCAGCAGACAGTGGCCTAGAATAGTCCCAATGTTGTGTTGTGAATCAAGAGAAAGGCTGTTAAGTGTTGATCCTTGTGTGGAGCGTAATAGGGCTACGAGAATAATCGCAGTTCAATCAAAATCACAATTAGCAAATCAAGGCTGCAATTTCTTGAAGTTTTTCCACAAACAACAATATATTCTGTCTTTTTCTGCATAAAAACTGCAAACCCTGTATTTACATTGGTACAAACATGTTCGAAATGAAGAGGATAAGTTTTTGTATTAGTTTGGAGCTTCATATTTCAGTCTTTTTGTCAATTATTCTGGGCACGTTTAAAACTTGAATCAGAACAGAATCCTATTATTAAAACATAAATCAAATCCAAATCCAATCGCAATGCTTGTCAAAAAATGTGATATTTTTCCCAAATCATCAAGCCCTAGAGTGTATTTAACACGTTATTATGTGTGATCAAGGCTGAACTATCTGAGAAAAAATATTGAATTGTGTTTTTTGTGATTAGATTTTATTGATTTTTGTATTGAATCATAATATGGAATCATAATTTATGAATTAATAACTGAATGACATTTTTTTTTAAAAGGTGGGGTAACTGGGGTACTGTACATGATTCGTGACGTCATCGATGTTTTAACATTAACGCCGTTTATAATCACCAACAGAACGTAAATCATAGGCTACAACATATGTGCCCAGGACTGATCCAGGACTAAACTAGGACTAAACTAGCTCTAAACTAGGACTAAACTAGCTCTAAACCAAGCCTAAAACTAGGATTAAACCAGGACTAAACTAGCTCTAAACTAGGACTAAACTAGCTCTAAAACAGGACTAAACTAGAACTAAACCAGGACTAAACTAGCTCTAGACCAGGACTAAACTAGCTCTAAACCAGGACTAAACTAGCTCTAGACCAGGACTAAACTAGCTCTAAACCAGGACTAAACTAGCTCTAGACCAGGACTAAACTAGCTCTAAACCAGAATAAACTAGCTTTAACCCAGGACTAAAACAGAACTAAACCAAGACTAAACTAGCTTTAAACCAGGACTAAAACAGAACTAAACCAGGACTAAACTAGCTCTAAACCAGGACTAAACTAGGACTAAACCAGGACTAAACTAGCTCTAAACCAAGACTAAACTAGCTCAACCAGGACTAAACTAGCTCTAAACCAAGACTAAAACAGAACTAAACCAGGTCTGCACCAGGACTAAACCAGGACTAATCTTTGACTAACCTTGGACTTGAGAGTGAGAGAACCCCGAGCCTGCAAAGGAGGGTGTCCGCAAGGCACAATCAGCACTGGTCCTTTTGCCTGCGGTCACCCAATGGTCTACGCGGGCGCACCTCCGGGCACTCAGTCCTGGCTCAGTTCTGGTTTAGTTCAACTTTAGAGCTGGTTTAGACCTGCTTTAATCCTCCTGGTTCAGTCCTGGGATCAGTCCTGGTCCCTCATGTCTCAGGTCACTATAGGACAGCACTGCAGATATCATGAGCCTATGCAGGTTGTTTTCACTATTGCAAATAGCTCCGGTTTGACATTTAAGTTGTATCTATTTTATATTTGTTATTTTTTTTATATTTCATGTCGGGAGAAGTGGGTGGACGCTGTACCCCTGTGTACCACTCCCACTACACCCCTGCTACCAGATGCATATACACTGCACACTGCACAAACAACTATTAGGTTGTTTTATGCCTTCAAAATGCAGATATCAAAGAAGTTCTAAGCATACATCACAATTTGTAGACAGCTGTAATAATATATGAGCTAACTTGTTGCTTTGGCATTAAGGTCTCAAAGGTAGCATTTAGTGTGAATTTGAAAAAGCACCCTATAATCAAAATGTAGTGTTAGCTATAGAGTGCAACAAAAGGAAGTATGACTAATAAGCGAACTTCCTGGACTGCATTCTTTCTCAACACCAACAACAAGGAAACACAACCACTTTTGCATTAGCGACGCGTGCAAAATGTGATGTGTGCATAGCATGGCCACCTGCAGAATTCCCAGCGTCTGAACGGACATGGCTCAACCCTGCATTAGTTGCCATGGCTTTCTGTTTTTTTCCCTCTCCCCAATTATGACGTGAGAGGAGCTTGCATGCTGAGTAACTACAAGGAAGCATGCCCAAAAATAGACTGGCCATGTTACAAGCTGCCACAACACACAGCCTGCTAGCCTGCCCTGTCCAACCACGCAGAGAGGACAAGCTTGCCACGTCGAGGCCACTGGACGTGTGAAAAATACATTTAAATAATACAAATGGTCATAAGGGTCTAATGATTGGAATTAACTAGTATGAGGTGCAAATTCTGTTGTAATTATAGGCTCTATTCACGCTTCACACATCACAAATCAGGAATATGCTTGGAAACATGCGATGATAACTTCCGGCGGGCTCTGTTCGAGGTAGTAATGGTGCATTCTGTTGTGCTCAGAAAAAATGACCTCTATCTCGAGAAAGTGCAATGGAACAGCCAATCAAATGGGGTTTCCAAAACACAAACTCAGGCTAGTTCGGTGCAGACCGAGTCAATTGGACATTATCCATATTTTTCCCCAACTGTTGTAATGGAACGCATTTACAACGGATGTCGGGAGAACTGACTCGGATTTATCGACTACCGACATTCATTGCATGGAAAAATTAGAAAATAATGCATCAGTTTTATATAGCACTTTTTTGAGCATTAATCATTCATAATGCAGTCAAAGAGCATTATTCATTCACTCCATACCCGGTGGTGGTAGGCTACTATTATAGCCACAGCTGCCCTGGACAGACCACCACCATCACTCAGGCACACATCACTTTCAAACTACACAATGTGGGTGAAGTGCCTTGCTTAAGGACACAACAACTGTTTTTTTTGCGACTGGCGCCCCCCTGTGGCACCTGATTTTCCCAGCGGTCTCCCATCCAAGTACTAACCAGGCCCGGCCTGCTAAGCTTTGAGATCTGACGGGATCAGGCTTTGACAGCTGGTATGCATTTCTTCATCTCCAATATTTAGCATTCCTTGTTCACTAATCAACAATTACAACATACCTCAGTTTTCATCTTTCTCCACTGAGCACAACTTGAGCGCACTGGAAATTCTGGACCAATCAGGCGCCGTGGTGAGATGGCGACAGGCAGTTGTGGATTTCTTGATCTTTTCTGGAGAATATACATTGTAACCAAGGACAAAATAAGACAGGGGTCTCCAACCTGTAGCTTTCCACCCCGTCACAAGTAGCTCCCTGGAGGATTTCTGAACTATACATATTGTGCTTAATGACTCATTTTGATGCCTAATAAATGGATAAACGGTTATGCTTTATAGGTATCTAACTCTTCCTCATATAAGGCTTTTCTGTGCTCATTTTATGGTGACTGCCAAACTTAGTAGCCGTTTGGCATTTTCTTTTTGTAAAGGTAGCTGACCAGAAGAAAATGGTTGGAGACCCTTGGAGTAAGGAGTATTCATGGGTGTGTTGTTTATTGAAAAGATGCATAATTAAATGTCAGGCAACATCTACATTTGTAACTTCATTTGTGACCTGTTTAATATTCACACAGAAATAAAAGTGAAATAAATATTTTAGCATAGCTTTAAATATAGACTTCATCTTTTCTCATTTATATGGGATTTATTGACACAGAAAATGAAAAGTTACAAGCAAATAAGGTATAGTGCATACTCTTATAAACAGAATACCCAGCATTGACAGTGATTCCAAATTTCAAGTCAGTATATTAAGAGCACAATAAATACATAAGAGGTCAATTATTTGAATTCTATTTCACTGATTCACAAAATTGATCACTTGCAGATTGAAGCAGTCTTGCATTAATATTTTTTTAAGCATTTTTACCATAGACAGTCATACAATTATATAAGAATGTATTTTTTAGCATTAGCTTCAGCCTCTCTCACAGATGACTTCAATCACACTCTGCTCCATGGGGGCAGGGTCGAGGCAGCGGTGAGCAGAACTCCCCACAATCTCATCCAACAGGAAGTGTACAAGGTTTTCATCTGAAACAAAGCGCCATAGATACATCTGCAGATAATGGCAGTCCACTTGGATCTGCTGCAGTCCATAACGACCAAACGTGCGTAAACGCACACACTCCAGGAAGGTTTTGAGGCTGATTTTGATGATTCCTGTCATGACCGACACCTGAGAGTGAGAGAGAGAGAGAGAGAGAGAGAGAGAGGCACTTATCAGAGGGGCTGTGGTGTATCACCTCTGATGATTTATCATGGGGTAATACTCTGTGCTCACCTTGTTGAACTCCACTGAGCTGAAAATGTCAATCCTTTCAGAAAACAGCTTGTGTATGTTGTTCAACAGATTAGTGTCCATAGGAGCACTGCGGGCAGAGAAAGCTTTTAATCATTTTTATCATGTCAGACCAGAAGGCTGAGTTGTTGTAAACATGAGGGTCCGGGCCATCACAAACAGTGCGTTAGCTAGCAGGTGTGTGTACCTTGGCGTGTAACTGGCAGCGTAGCGGGCCTGCTGCCTGGAGCTGCTATACACCGAGAAAGTCCTTTTGCTGGAGTCACTGCTGTGTGCTTTCCTTACTCCCTCTTCATACAAAAGACCCACCTGGTTCAAATCACAAAAGAGTAAATAGAAAAGGCAATTTACAAACACCATGGCAAATGTCTAAATACCTGAACATCAATAGAAGTAGTGTCCTCCACAACCCTCTTCATCACAGCACGGACATTTCGTGGTTCAATAGTGTTCACCCAGTCTCTGGTCTCCACACTCTTTCTGAGCATCTGAGAAATAATCAGCCCCTGAACCTGGGGAACAAAAAGCAACAGTGAGACACAAGTTTAAAATGTTTTCTA